ATATATTATATATATATAAAAATATCTATATAAAGCTTATGCAAAATGTGTACAAGGCCTTCAAGTCTCACATACTGTATGTTTCTGGTGGATGGACATCAGGACTTTTGGCTATAACCATTAGGAGAAATGTACTAATCTTCTACTGAATGAGGACTCAAGCAAACGAACCTGTTCAGATGGCAAAGAGAGAGATGAAATTTCAAGGGAGCAAATGCAAAACAATGCACGACCCTAACAATCCACATCTGTGGCGATACAGTTGGTGTTGTCAGACAGAGCAAGATCCTGGAGTCATCATGGATAGTCCTGTGAAGGCAACAGCTAACTGCTTAGAGACAAATACAGAGATGCAAGTACAATGAAGAGAATTATTGGGAATGGAATAAGGAACAATGCCTTTGCAAAAACCAACAATGCACACTGTCTTGAAAACTTGCTGCCATTCTAGTCACTTAGTTTCGGAAGAAATTAGCGAAATTAAAAAAGAAGAGTAGTGTTGATATGCAGGGAAGGGAAAGAAACAGCTTCCACAAATACAGCAGGACCCTTCAACCTGGAAAAGAAAGAGTCTGGTGGAAGTATGATACGGGTTTTTAAATTGTGAATGACATGGAGAAGTAATGATTATTCTGTATTTTTTCAATATGGAAGAATTAGTAAAACTAATTAGTGGGAAGAATTAGTAAAACTACAAACCAAAAAATGGTGAACAAAGAAAATAAGACTTTTTTTTTTCCAGACAGCACATAAATAAGTTGTGGAAACTAATTTTCATAGCATGTTACAGATGCCAGAACTATAAATAGTGTTTTTTTAAAAAAAAACTTTAGACAAATTTGAAGAAAGCTCCATTGAGGGAGATCAAACACAATTGTACGGATGCAGCCTCTGACTCAGGAAATTGCTAAATGACAAGTTGCCAGAAGCATGGAGGATATATCAAGGAAAGGATCGCTTCATACTTGCCCTGTTCTTTCCTCTTGCTGAAAAGCAGCAGAAATAGCTAATGTCGGAGACCTTTGCTCCCACCCAAAATGGCCCTTCTTACAGCAGCCTTCAATCTTTTTCTTATTACAGCCGCCTAATTCCTATTACTGCCAACTATAAGGCATTAAAGTAGACATCATTTTCTTTCCCTCAACAATATTGTAGCGCTTCAGAACACCTTGGGCTAAAGTTTAACTGAAATGTAGGCTTGTAAAATGTGGCAAGGGCCACAAGCACATGCCTGGTAGTGGAAACTGCCCCTTTCTGTTGGAAAGCAGAAGAGTGAGCAGGATGCCAGCTAACACCTGGGTCATGTGCACTGGGGAGTGTGGTTTGGTAGCTGGGAAATGGAGGAGACCCATGAGACCGGCAGGCTTTGTTGTAAGTTGTCAGGATGTCCTGTTCAGCTCCTTTTTCTAGATAAGGCATGCAAGTCCTACCCCGTCATCAGATCTGCTGGTGATTGAATAAGATAAGTAGATTCCCTGTTTTTTGCGCCTAGTTAGCCAATATCCATTTAAAAGTCTGCCTTGATCTTCATCACACCACTTCAAGCCTACCTTTTGTCTTAAAGAGAGATATAATTCTGGTCATCCTGACTATCTCTTCCAGGGGACCAGGCTGTGAAATATTATAATATAATCAGAGCACAATTATAATGTCTTTATAATTAAAAAAGCGGCAAGCTCATTTACTTACGTTGGCAGCAGCAGGAGGAAAGCTGAGGTGGGTGAAGCTTGAGTTTTGCCTAAAGTGCCCCAGGATGGAAGCAGCACGGTGTATGCAGGGGGCTCAGGAGGGAGCAGGGATGCTGAGTGGAAAGATGGATGCAGAACCTGAGCTATTTGCCAAAATGTCTGAGAGGAGGACTTCTTGTCCCCTGGGATTTCCCTTGGCCAGGCATTGATAGGATCAAGAACTTCATCATTTGGTGTATTTTTTAAGATTTTGTTTATGCAGGGAAAAGTAATCCTTAACCCCACAGCACATGAAGAGCCAGAAGTGTTCGAATGCCTGCAGAAAGTGTTACCAAACACATGCTGGTTTCGAAAAGCCTGTGAATCCGCAAAATAGCGTGCAACTCTAAAGTGATGACTCTGCAAGGCTTAATCATCCCTAATTATAATTAAATCTAGTAGAGCAGGAGGGTTAGTGTGATGATGACCTAATCAAGCAGAGGAGATAAAAATGTATGTATTGCTACTTATTAGGTAGCCAAACCTATCTGGTTCATTTATATGTATATATTGACTTTTTCAAGGTGATTAAATTCTGTTACTTATTGATTTGCCTAAGGTAGTTAAACCCTAAATGCCACTCCCAATGAAAAAGGACAAGCGAATGTCATTGCTCGATGATATTTTTTATGGAGGTTTTCTGAACCAAGTGTCAGAGTAATATTGCCATCATCCTCTAAATAAATGAAAATAGGCTTTGAGAAAATTTGGAGGAGCAAAATAGATACAAGAAAAAGATTTCAAAGCTCATGTTGACTGTTCAGAGAAAAAGAACCAATGAAATTGTTATTTTCACATTTTCAAAATTATGTACCTTTTTAATCAGCATTGAATCACTGTTGACTCACTATTTCAAATCACAATATTCTCAGTTCTTTCATTTTGAAATGTATCTTTTTTCATTTTTAAATGGAAGTAACCTGAAAATACAAAACATTATTTCACCTAAAACGATTTCTGTTTTTTCACTGGAAGCTGGAAAGTCTTCAGCTGTCCCAGATAACACAGTTTCTGACTTTTCCAGCTTGACCAGTGAATCAAACACAAGTTTTCATTGCTCCTGGAGGAAAGGCTGCAAGGCAACACTTAGACATAAAATGTTTTAAGCAGCATAGTAAGACGACGTTTGAAAATAAGATACAAAGTTCCGTAGAACTTATAAAGGGGAAAGTGTTTTGCGCTCTGTACAGGCTGCTATTCATATTACTGCTGAACTAATAAAGATTGCAAGAACAGTTTCAAAATGCTTCCTTTGAGACTGGTGAATGCTTTGCACAACTGGCGTTCATTGTTCCTAGCCAGGATCTGATCACATCGTTAGGACTGTATTTTACTTACTGCCCCTCAATGCTCAGCAGCCGGGCTGTGTGTATGTGTGTGTGTGTTTGTGTGTGTGTGTGTGTGTAGATGTCCCTGTAACAGGCTGCATAAATAGAACTGATAAGCCATCACAAAGTACTTCTGTTTGAAAAGAGGACAAAGAATGTGGGACTAGACTGACCATTAAGTAGAAAGCTTTGTCTCCAGGCTTATGTCATTGTGAAATGAGGATATACAGCTGAGACAAAAATTTGTCTTTATGCATTATGAAAGACTGAGAAGAAAAATTAACTCAGAGGTAGATGAAATGCATGCTGATTATAGAAAATTTTCATTTATAGCTAAAAGTAGAGTGCTTGTTATTTACTATAGAAACATAATCTTATTTTGCGCTGATGGAGCTCAGAAATTATGTTAGTTCCTCAGAAGGAAAGAAATACAGTGATTTATTTTTATTTTATATTGAGAAAATCATTCCAGAGGACTCGACTTTCTAACATGACAACAACATTTGAAAATATCTGAAAGGCAAAAGCGTAAAATACTTGAAAATTTTCTTCCCCTTAAAACAGGAGTGAAGAACCTGTCAGTCTGGGTCAGTGGCATGAGTTGCGAGTGTCTCGCACAGCGAAGAATGGTATCCTGCAAGTGGACAAACAAAAGCCAGTGGAAGGGATGGCCGAGGTGAGCATACGGCATGAGTCGTCATGAATATGGCTGTTAGACTATAAAATGATTGCATGCTAAACTACACAGGCTTATCTGAAAGCTCTTATGAGCTCAAAAAAGTGTACACATTAGGGCAATGTTTTCTTAAGCCCAACACTGGAAATTGGCACATGAAGTCTTCCCTCTGAGAACAGGGATCCTTGTAAAGGCAGCTGAAATCACAGCCCTGTCTGCTTTTGCCATGTAACTGAACTCATGTTTTTTGTGTTCAGTTCATAAATGTTCTTGAGATTCTTTTCTTGCTATTTACTAGTTGTGGCTAAGTCCATTGAACAATTTATGCACTACAAAAAGCATCGTCTGGAGAAAGATGAAATCAAAAAACGCGCACAGAGTCCTGGTTTTTACCTCTCTCTGAAGATTGCACTGGAAAGGCAGGCCAGAAAAGAATTGTTTCTTTGTTTTCTTGCAAAAGTAATTTTCAAGACAGAGTAAAGGCTGGAATATCCAGACAGTTGATGACTTGCATTTTATTCTTCCCTCACCAAGAGGTCATAGGAAATCAAGTTTTTAATAAGGCAAAATTTTGCTTTTACAGAGCAGGGTATTCTCTCTAAGCTCTCAAATGCATACACAGAGGTAGTTTTTTTATCTCAAGAACCTGTGGCTAGAATTGCTTAGAAAATGTCTTTTATTCTTTCCTAGTGGAAAGTCTGGCCAGAAAACCAGACTCCAGATTCTGTTAACAAAAGAATCTGCAGTATTTTCTGCAAACTGGGAAACTTTTTAAAGCTTAGACTTTTCTAGAAAAATGTAAATAAATTGAAATTCCAGTTGTCTGTCAAGAAGCAGACTGAGTGGGAAACACTCAAACAGAGCAGTAGAGACTTCTTTATATATACGATGAGTAGAGATGAAGACTCCCATTTCTTCTCTAAGTGCTGCAGTGCAGCTGCAGAAGGATGTTGGCTGGGAGCTGCCAGCGAAGAAATCACAGGAGCTTCTGGAGGACTGGAATTGCCCAGCTCTTCTGTCCTTAGCTGTTAAATATCTTCCAGCTCACTCCAGGACCCCAACTAGTCCTATCAGGTACCCTGAGGAAATGTTTCTGGTAACTAAAGCAAACTCAATGTTTCTTATATTTAGACCGTATCTTGCTATGGATTAGCTTTTCAGATGTTGGAAACATTAAATGAGTCTCTATTCCATGGACTTGACTCTCATTTTAAATTTATAAACCTCATTCTGGTTCTAGATTCACGTCAATGCACCTCAAGCCATTGCAAATAGAGCTAGATGGGCAGTCAGGTATCAGAATGAGTTGGTCCTCTTTCTTTCTTCCTTCAGTATTCTCATTTTTAAAAACTTGAGGTTTTTCAGACAGATATGATTAGGATAAAGCACAGTCTCTAGAGAGTGTCTTACAGTGGCATTCTTGAGAGAATTGTACAAAGAAATGCAAGTAAGAGAAGTAAAGAGGACTTTAAGCTATAACATCTAATGTAAACTAATCTGAAGATAGAAACATGGTTCCAGCTACTGTAATAAAATGTTATTTCTATGTTTCTTGCAGGGGGCTTTCACCCAGATTAAGTGCAGCTCTGAAATTTTTATTGGCGGAGTCCCTAGTTATGATGATGTGAAGAAGAACTCTGGGATCCTCAGGCCTTTCAGTGGGAGCATCCAGAAGGTACGTGCCCAGAGTAACACACTGCAAGCATTTATTTCCGTCTCATTGAGTGGACACTTTAGGTGAAAACCTACCCTTTTACCACTGGCAATGTTCAAAATAATCCAAGATTTCACCTCAGGAGCCCTCCACAAAGTGCTTAGACACATATTTCACGCTAAAAAATTGTTCTAACTTTAATATCAAATAAGTATTACCATTGCCAGTCTCCCTATTAATTTCCGTGCTGTACTAATAAGTGAGCAGAAGCCATATAGGACGGAGTTCAGAGTGATACATAAAGCTACGTCAAGAAGAAGAGGAGAAGAGGAGGCTCAGGGGGGACCTTATCGTTCTCTACAATTACCTGAAAGGAAGTTGTAGGGAGATGGGGGTCGGTCTCTTCTCCCATGTTACGAATGACAGGATGAGAGGGAATGGCCTCAAGTTATGCCAGGGGAAATTTAGGTTAGATATCAGGAAGAATTTCTTTACAGAAACGGTTGTGAAGTATTGGAACAGACTGCCCAGGGAGGTGGTGGAGTCCCCATCCCTGGAGGTGTTTAAAAACCGTGTAGATTTGGTGTTGAGCAACATGGTTTAGCGACCTTGACAGTGCAGGGTGAATGGTTGGACTTGATGATCTTGAAGGTCTCTTCCAGCCAGACGATTCTATGACTCTATGATTCTAAGATTAGAGTCCTCAGAGTGCCCTTCAGCATCATATATAAATAATGAACAGGAAGAAATGCTCAAACGCTTCAAGATATGCAGCAGCTAAATGTGTGATGTACCCAATGCAGTAATGAGCGAAAAAGAAGGTACAAATTAAAGCGGATCCTTGTCCAGCTAACGTATTCTTATACTATACAGCAGCTACACACCTCACTGCCTTCCCCTCTACAATTTTATATGGGGCACGTGAATGGAGATCTTTTTCATTGTTGGCAGACTTTAGAGGTGATGTTCCAGTGGGGTCAGCTGTGTGTGGATGGAGTTCTCTTCTGGAAAATAAATCTGTAAATTCATAAAGTAGTCCTAATAAGTAGTCAACGTATTCTTATACTATACAGCAGCTACACACCTCACTGCCTTCCCCTCTACAATTTTATATGGGGCACGTGAATGGAGATCTTTTTCATTGTTGGCAGACTTTAGAGGTGATGTTCCAGTGGGGTCAGCTGTGTGTGGATGGAGTTCTCTTCTGGAAAATAAATCTGTAAATTCATAAAGTAGTCCTAATAAGTAGTCAAAAGAAAGTTAAAACTGAACTAACGTTTTCTCCCTAGGCATTTTTAAAATAATTTGAATAAAGCTGAAGGCTTGGCCCTGAATCCTCAGAGTTTTAAATGAGTGAATTATTGCATCATATTTAATTTAAAATTTAAAATTTAAAAAACTCTAACAGTGCATCACGTAACAATTGATCAAGGGCAGAAAGATATTTGGAATTCAGTGTAAATGGTTTCATCGCTTGGTCCAACACTTTTCACCATCTTGGTCAGCTGTCTAGCAGAAAATGTGAAGTTCAAGAAAACTGAGGGAGAGTGCAATAGTGATGGGAACAGGCCAGTCTCGTGAACACCTTTGGAAAGGTGGGCTTAACTAAATACGGTGCATTTTGGAGTGCAAGAAAGGGCGCCTAGGAGCAATTAACACAGATCACATTTACAAGGTGAGAGGTTGTACCCGGGAGTACGGAGGCACTGATAAGGACTGGGGATGCTGAGTGTGAGCTTTTACTTCTGTGATGTAGTTGAGAACGTGGATTTCCCTTCTCGGAGACCTGAGTGGGATTCAGGAAAGGGTATCACCTGCCTTTTGGGCACTAGGAGACTCTTCGTTGACTGCTGTGTTCACACGTAGTAGGATTTTGGAGAATTGCATAGAGGTAAAGCTACAAACATCACCAAGTACTGAAAAACATGCCAAATATAGGAAGACCTAAGATCTCAATCTATTTGGTTTGCTCAGATAAGGTTAAAAATTTATTTTATTGTTCTCTGCTGATTTCTACATGACAATGAGATTTCTTTAAGTACCTGGTTCTGAAATGATGCGAAAAAAGGCACAATGAGAAACAGTACCTGGAAGCTGAAGATAGTTTAAGCCTAGAAATAAGATACACATTTTTAAGAGAGGGACTTGTTAATCACTGGAATAACATAGCTGGAAGTCAGAAAAAGCTGAAAAGGTAGTGGGGTCTTCACTGGTCCATCTTTATGGCAGAACTGGATGTTTTTCTGCTGTTGAACTTGTCTAACACTGTTTCAAACAGAGCATGTATGCTTGATGCAACCCCTTCCCTCAGTAGGCACCCTTAAGGTACATTGTCTGAGTAGGACGCCAGCGTAACTATTGCAGGAGCCAGCGTAACTATTGCCATTCTCACTTAGTGGCCTCAAAATCTGTTTGTTTGTGAAAATGGACTTGTTTTGATGTAGCTGAGATCAGAAGCTGTATCCACATGTAATCTCTTTGCACAGTATCAGCTGAGATTACACAAATGTTGGTTTGTGTCAGAGAACATATGTTGCTGACACATTGAAAAAATCCCAACATTTAACAATTCTCTTTGGCTTATATACAAACAGTTTTGTGAAGTCATTAATTATGTTTTTCATCCATTCTCTAACTCTAGCTTCTTTCAGACAAGATGAGATACTAGAAAGCAATAGGAAATGTGAAAAACAAGCTGTTCTGCTTAGTATTTCTGTTGTCAACACTCATCTCCTGGGGGGTTTTCTGAGTTCAGAAATGCTTTTTTGCAGTAGTGCTCATCTAATTTTACAGTCCTAGCTCACAGCTTCGCTACAAAGTGTTTGCTGGTGTTCAGACACGACTGGTAAATCCTACACAGCTTCACCCTCATGGAGGTTGCCTAAGTCTGTTTCACAAAATACAAAAGAAATCCACCTTCAATGGTTCAAAGAGAGAAACAGAATGAGTTGGAAAATGCTCATCACAAGATACATGTTTTTGGCCAAGTTTTGAAGCTTATCTTTGTCTAAAGTCGTTTAGAGACATCTTCTGACTACCATTGCAATACTGAAAATTTGAAAATTTCAGTATGAATTTTTCGTCCCTTTCTTTCTTTTTTTTTTTTTTTTAACACATAGATTATCTTGAATGATCGAACAATCGATGTGAAACATGATTTCACTTTTGGAGTCAACCTAGAAAATGCTGCCCACCCTTGCGTGAGCTCACCATGTGCAAATGGAGGCACCTGCGTTCCCAAGAAGGACAGCTATGAATGTGATTGTCCCCTGGGCTTTGATGGGCAACATTGCCAAAAAGGTAACAATGGCTGTGTTTCAATCCAGAGATCCAGAGTTGATCACAAAAATGAGAGAGGTTTAGCACCTACAACTGTTGTTGTACACATCCCTTGAAATAGAAACCAGAGTTCCCTTTACATCCGTGTGCATCCCACACATCCAGGGAAGAATTTGTTTTGTTATTTAGGAACATCGTAACTGTTATTCTAGCACAGAGCTATGATCCACAGATAGCAGCCAAGTATCTGGTTGCTCTTGGTGGCCAACACTGAGCACTTCATACACCTCCCTAATTATGCAGTGCTATACAAAGAGGGAATTCCTGCCAACATCCTCCAGCCAATGATTATGTTACATCCTAAAGCATGCACATTGGTAACCCTTGTAATTTTATCTTACCTAGGGCTCACAACAAATCCTGTTCTCCTGTACAGAAAGGTCTAGTCCTTTTTTAGACACTGTCAACTCTGATGGTAGTTTCAACAGCTGCACAGACCCTACTTTAGTATGGTGATGGACCCACAAAGGAGGAAAACCTGCCCAGAGGCACATTATTATTCTTTCCTCAGAGCCACTGTAATAGTTCAAACCTTAGATTCAGGAAAGTGTTCAGACTGCCTGAGCTGTTGAAAAAAAAAAAAAAGTGCTTTGCGTTGTTCCACTAGATGGAGATGTTTCCCTTCTGCCCGGCTTGATCTTGGAAAATTCCTAAGGGAAGGTTTTGTAATGTAACGGCGAACTCAGTTCAAACGAGCTGACTGACATTGCTGTCTTCACCCACTCCTTCATTTCTCACAGGCACAAACTTCAAAGTTATAAGTAGTGGTTTTGGTTAAATCATAATGAACAGATTGGCCTTCTCTTCCAAAAAAGACAGTATCTTAGAACAAAAACATTTTATTAACATACAATGCAAGAAACCCCTTCGCTTACGTTGTTGTGGTCTAACTAATAGCTGGAGCGACGTCATTTATCCCAGCTTCTCTGCAGGGAGGAGGGAGAATTGCGATTTTGGCTTTCTAGGTATGTGCAGGGTGGTAAGCTCCTGACTTCAAGATGGTACCTGCAGCAGTACTGAGGTCTCCAGGGGAGACAAGGCAAGCGAGTGCTTTGCAGCTTGGGTGTGTGACTGCCTGCCCCTTCGTCGGGCTCCTGCGCGTTGGTTGGGCCATGGCTCCTCACCGCTCGTCGGCTTTCGATGTGTGCTGAGCCCCGGGAACAGGGTGCCGAGCTGCCTGCTGCTGCACCAACGCTGCTCCGCTCAGCTGGCACAGCACCGCGCTCCTCCCTCTCGCGACCTGAACGGGCGCCCAGGCTTTCAGAGGCAGTCTGATGCACCTTGTGTCTTTGGCTTAGTCGGAATCCTGGATGTTGCTTCCTATGTGAATCCAACCTTAATTGGTGTTTAAGAGTGTCCAAAAGTATGTCATCTGTCTTCTGTTCCTACTGCCTGTGGCTGCTGTTCAGGTGCCTTCTGATGCCCTCTTGCACTTGTGCAGCCTTGGCTGCCGTCGAAAATCCACATTTTTGCTGATGAATGTGCTAAGAGCATGGAAGTCCTTCCTCCTGAACCTCAGTCCAGGACAGCTCTGATGAACCTGGAGCAAATTTCTCAAAATAATCCTTACCTGTGTCTCTTCAGTAGGGTGTAGACACAGCTAAGGCAGTATGATAGAATCATAGCATGGTTTAGGTTGGAAGGTACCTTAAAGATCATCTACTGCAATGGCCCTGCTGTGCGCAGGGACACCTTCCCCTAGATCAGGTTGCAAGATGATCATGTGTGCCTGCTTCTCCTTCAGAACAGGGTTTTAGTTAGTGCACTTGGAGGGTATGTGAGAGGCTGAAGGTGCAGCCTCCATCCTGCTGGTGGGCTACTGTAACCCCACGTCTTGAAAAGACAAAATACTTGTGAGAAACTACACCTCCTTCTCCAAAATTACACACGTCACTTAAAAAATTCAACTTAAATGATGCTGGTGTGAGGTATATGCGATATTGATTCATGTCATAATGGATGATAAATAATATTGATTTATATCGTAATGGATATAAAACCCAGCTGATATTGCTGGGTTTTATATCTTGTGTCCAAGCTGCGAGGAGTGTTAAAGGTATTTTTATATTTAACTGTAAGACAGAGTAGAACAGCAAACTCCTGCTTTCACCTGGTTAGAGCTGATCCCCATGTAAACCATGGCAAGCCACTGAGATTTGAAGACTAGGACTAGTAGATGTGTTTGATGCTGGTCCTACCTGTCTGCACCTGTGTGTGTTTTGAGCAGGCAAATATAAATAATTGGGCAAAATACTAATAAAAGAGTGCGACCTTCGTAGCTGGCTGTAATTGCCTGTGTAAAAGGGAAGAGGGCATCGTGCATTTGCAGAAAGGTGGGCATGAAACTGGGCAGCCATTGGAAGAGAGACTTTTATGCTATAGAAAAATAAAACCAGACTATTCTTGTTTTGTTTTGTGCTGACTCACTGCAGAGTGTGGAAGTTACTGCCTAAACGGTGAGTACTGCAAAGGATGTGAAAACTGCTCTGTCATTGCGCGTCTGTGTCTGCTCTGGCGAGCTGGATGCCGGATTTCCATTAAGCCTGGGCGAGCTTCTGTCAAAGCCAAAATATTTTCTGGGATTATACAGTACTTCCTTAAAGCTCATCCTGTGGATGTTTTAGACTGCATCCAGAGCACCTGCCAAGTGCAGAGTGGTGGTTGCAGAGGTGGTCTATTTGCAAAGCAGCAGGGCCAGGCTGAGTGCTTTATAGGGGTAAAGTGTGACTTTGGGCTGCCCTGCAGTTCAGAGCTCACTCCCGCTTGCCATGAGAGCTTTGGTGCCTCTCTGCCAAATCATGATGAGCAGAGAGTGAAGATGTTTAGTCCTAGATCTCCTTACTGGCCCTGTTCCCTGCCAGTTGCAAAGATCCTGTGTGCATGAAGGATACTGCTAAAATTTACTTGGTTTTCTGTGATCAAATTCTGTGCAGCAAGTGAAAATCGTAAGAAAAAGCCAGCAGAGATAAATGCCCATCAAGCTTCACAGAGGAAATCGAAGTGCTAAAGCAAGGGCATGGGCACCTTTCCCTGCCGAAGGCAAGAGCAGCGGGGCTGTAGGGCTGGTGTGGGATGTGACGGGGGAAGAAGGTCTCCTTTCACGCTCCACCACTATCCGCCGTGGTCAGAGACTGTCCAGTGAAGAAAGTGGCAGACCTGGCAGGGAATGTCTGGCCAAGTGTAACATGTCTTTTGCAATCTTCCAATGATGCTGGCAGGCTGCAGGCTGTGGACCGCCCGTGGTGCTTTCTTTAGATGCATTAGACAGCTCTCCTGATTTCAGTATGGATGAAAACAGGCGTTTGTCGCTATCTAAAATTCTCAGTCTTGGCACTTGAAGACAAATTTCATATTGCTGTTGTTGGCTGCCAGACTACGCCAATTGTTGCATATCTGTGTTGCAGTGAGCCCTTAAAGCCCAGCCAGCCTCTGCGTTGCACAAAGAAAGCAAGCATCCATGCCCTGAAAAGCTTGAAATATATACAGATGGGGTTAAGCCGTGGGTTGAAGGGATTAGTTCTCAGGAAGAAAATGGGATGACGGCAGCTATTTTAAGGAATTTATAAAACTGGCTCATACTAATGCAGCAGGCTGTTATGAGAGATCAGCAGCGAACTGTAAGATGTTAACTCAAAAGAAAACGTGTTCAGGCCAGTGCTCACAGCCTACCAAAGGCTGTATCAGGGCTGTTCCCTGATTTATATCGCACATCTGAGTTATTTCACTGAAGTTTTCTCCACGGGCAGCAGTACGCCAGCTCCATGTCTGGTTCAAATGCATGCTGCCAGCCCAGCAGCTGTTCCAGGGGCTGGCCCTGGAGGAATGGGAGATGCTGTGTGTGGGACACTGGGGAGTGCGGGCCACTGGCGGGTCCCTGCCAATGGGGGAGTAAATCAGTAAAACGGTCTTGTCTGTTTTTTTCTTCCATTTCCATGTCTGCGAACTGACACTCGTCTTTTTTTTTGATTACTTTTCAGCCATTACAGAAGCAATTGAAATCCCACAATTTATTGGTCGCAGTTACCTCACATATGACAATCCGGATATCCTGAAAAGGTAATGTAACTCCTGTGAACATAAATATGCTGTTTGTTAACCATTTTAAAGCTAGGACCCTCATGTGGGAGGATGTTGTATATTTAAGCGTTTTAAGCTGTATTTGCCATATTTCTAAATTTCAGGAAAAAACCACACATTTTCTATGCATATACCTACAGCTTAGTTTGTTATAATATCCAATGATATTATAATGATATCAACTGTCAAAGAAGCAGTATGCACATCGTACATCTGACATGAAGAAGGAGTGGTGTGTGCTTTCTGAGAGCTGTTGTTCTCTCAGAGGATTCACGTCTTCAAACTTCTTTTTGGCTGCTCTGTTCCCCAGAAGATGCCCAAATTCCAGAAAATTTTGGGTTGTTTTAACAAATTCACTCATCTCCTATATTTCAGCCACTGGCTAGGGGAGGCTTTGCAAACATCCTCACCTGCAGCTTGGTACCTCTGACCTACCAGGACTTTCTGATTTGCCCTTTCTTATGCTTCTTCCACCGGCTTCTCAGGGCAGCAAACCTACTGGACATTCTCAAAATTTACTTGTTGTACTGGATTTCACACTAGGCTTGGGGAGAAAAAATGTTTTCTCTGATTTGTATAGAGTAACTCAGTAGCTATTGTGTTTGGGGTTCTGGAGGACCAAGTTCAATTCTGTTGCTCCGAAATGCTGGAAATGGGGATGTGAACCAGAGTCCCTCACACATCAGCACACAGGCAAGTTGCAAGACAGTAACCAGCAAGACCAGTGGAGAAGAAATAGTGCCATCATCTTTCAAGTTTGTTTGAAAAAATTGTGCCAGTTCAATATTTTACTACTATTTCCTTCTTCTACATTAAACAGGGTATCAGGATCAAGAACGAACGTGTTCATGAGGTTTAAAACCACAATGAAGGAAGGCCTCTTGATGTGGAGAGGAGACAGTCCCATGAGGCCCAACAGTGATTTCATTTCTCTCGGCATCCAAGAAGGAGCACTAATATTCAGGTAAACTATCACTCCCTTGTTTTCGTTTGATGCAGTACAGTCAGCACTGGAAGGAATCTCCACAACACATCCAGTGCGCTTGTCCTTCCGTGTGGCGTGAGACAATGACGTCCTCAGGGTTTTGTTCAGCAGTCGGTCCTGTAGCTGTCCGGGAAAGGATGGGCTGAGGGGGTTGTGTGCTGCCAGCTTTGCATCATTCCCACTCCTTCCCTCCCAATTCTTAAAACATCATATTTTTAGCATGGCTTTCTGAAAGTTGCACCTCCGGAAGCCCTTGCTGTCTCAGTTGAGCAGAGCCAGAGGAGGGAGCGGGGGTCACCCACAGGAGCCCTGCTGACGCCTGTGCTGACTGCCAGCTCAGGCTGCTGGCTCGCTCCTCACCGGAGAGTGCACATGGGAGTGGGGCTTCCACCTTCTCTGCCCCCCAGACACCCAGCCCTATGGCACAAACCCAGCCGGCACCAGGGGTTGCTACTGCCAACAGCCACAGAACCACTTGTTTAAGGAACAAGTAATAGTACTGTCAGAAAGCTGAAACTGGGGAGTGTTGGGGAACGGCTGAACTCGTGTCCTCTCTCTGCATAATCTCTCTCTCCCTTGCAGACACTGGGGTAGACACCGTGCAACTTTTTGCATGGTGCTTTTTGGGACTCTTGCCTTTTGAAAGCCCTGTCTTTCCTCATGATACCCTTTCAGGTTGTGTAAGACAAATACTGAAACAGCAAAATACAAATGCCAGAGTTTTTACGGACTGTTGTGAGAAACTGTTGATTAAATGGCAAAGATCTTGTTAATCATTCAAGCTACTTTGAAGCTATCTTGTACCTGGTCGTCGTTTGCTACTGTGGATGCATAGACAAAGTTGCACTTTTCTATTTACATTAATTTCTTTAAAGCATTTTTTAATGTGTTGGGTTTTTTTTTTGTGATTGCCTTTGCAAAAACTCAACTTTCTCACTGACTCTGCAGAAATAATGCATTTTTAAAATGTCTTCAGGAGAGCCTGTCTTCCCAAGATACTGGGTAGTAAGTGGCCAGTCTATTCTATCCGTTTTCTAGGCACAGTGCATTTTTATTAGGGTTGTTGCTATTCCCAAAAGCTGAAGATATGCAAGGGTTTTAGACTGACACAGCTGAATTTTATTGAGATACCTCAATTCCTCATGAATTTAGGAAGGTGTAAAATTTAAGATCCCAAATGAAAACGCTCATAAACACTCACTGCATACAGAAAGGGAACACTGAAGAAAATGGTGAAAGAACAAATGCAGAAAAAAAGGTATCATCTCATTTTCACAAAGAGTCACCCTCATGCTACTTTTGCAACTTTTGACAGGTGAGGTCAGGAGAGTATCCAGGGCCGTGAATTGATCAGAAGTACTTCCCTGCAGCCCAAAATGAGATATCTATGTTCTGGTTCAAAAATTCAAAACACACCTTTTCTTTCCCATAGCAAAGTGTGTTCCCTGTACTGTGTAGCTACTGCTGTCATTCATTGGTGTTGCTCCCTGCTTCTGCAGAAGATTTTATCACTGTTGTAGAGGATCCCCATTCATGAGGGATATGACTCTCGTTCTGGTAACCAAAGGTCTAACACCTAGATACAATCGTGAACTCCCAAATCCTTCAGTAGCTCTCAATCTAGGCTAGTATCTGCATCCTGGGTGAAAGGAAATGCTTGTTTGAGACTCACTTAAGCCTCTGGGGAGGAGTCAAATTTGGGATAACCATTTTGCTCTGGGCAGCTGACAACTTAACATACTGTTCTCAAGTGCCTAACCCGGGCCGTGAACTTAATTCCCGGTTCAGTCTTTTCTGAAGAGATAATGATATTGGCTTTAAATTCTCCAGCTTGGTACAGGCAGAAGGCCAGCAGCAGCAAACCAGGCTAATTCATCCTGCTTATTTAGGCAGCTGGGCACCCAATAGCTCACTGTGTTGTAGCATCTACGTCCCCTTCGTGAAAGTTGGGACCCAGCAATTAAGATGCCTGGAGTGTAAACATAGTGGGGATGTTGTGTCTGTGGAGTAATTTTAGTAGGAGCAAACACAAAGAAATAATGTCAGAGATGCAACTGAAGCAGGAAACTTCGTGGTTATCTCTGCATTTATTTATTAGGCTTCATCCTTTCTAACATCATAGGTCTCAACTTTCCCTGTAATTCAGATGATTTGTAGATCTGTTATAGGTCATGTACTTATTTGCTCTTGTAATAGTTTATTTGTCAACCATGTTTAGAACCTCCCACTGCTTTCTTCCATTAAGCCAAAGATCTGGAGGTCACTGACCTCCATAACCTCCTCTTCCGGGAAGAAACTGCTACGCAGAAGCCTCCACCTTGCTCCCATGGGATGATGGTGGTGGTACCCCCTCTGACATGGGCAGCAGGGATTTTTACATGTTCCTCCGTGAGCCTGACTTTGCAAAAGAAGTGCATCACTGGTGGGCTTCCAAAAGACTCTACTAGTCCTTCCAAAGTCTGAGCCGTAAGGGTTGCTCTCAAGGCTGAGGCGGTGAACACAGCACAGAGTAAGGACATCTGAGCAATTTTGCAGGCAGATAGTCTTTGCAAAGGAGACAATAACATTTTAATTTGTTTTTAATTGTAGCTACAATTTGGGCAGCGGCATTGCTTCCATCACAGTGAACGGCTCTTTCAGCGATGGACGATGGCACAGAGTCAAGGCTGTTCGGTAAGTGGCCGTGCTTCACCTGGGTGGTGTTTTGGAGCTGCCTTCCATTAAAGGTGATGGCTGGTGTGTCTGAAAGCCAGTCGGATGTGAATCACTGCGGCTCCACACTGTCACACCGCTTACGAGTTGAACTGTTAGCAACTTGGCTGTTTCAGGACAATGTACACAGAGGTTGTTGTATTAGAGGTGACAGTGCCAACTCTGAAACCCAGCATAGCTCAAGGCAGGCTGCCAAAGTCACACAAGGCTATTCTGGGGCTGCGACAGACATTCTCTTAAACCCATACCATTTGGGTTAAGAGTATTTTTCTTTAATGTCTGCATTTTGAAATTCCCTAGCGAGCGTTTTGCGGGCTGGCACAAGCACTGCAGCACAGACAGTGCATGCCTACTTATTCTATTTGGAGGAGGTGCAGACATCTTGCAGTGTATATATAACTCATATTTATAACTCATTACCTCATGGGAGGCAAGCATGCCCAGCAGGGAAAGCACGCATCCCTCTCTTCATGGGATGTCGGCTCCCTGGAAATCACAGGCTAACATTAGCACAACTTGTCACCAAATTCAGTGAGAAGAAAAGCCCATCGAGTGGCTCTTCTGTCAGTGCAGATATTGACCGTATATGAAATGGAAGTGGCCTAAAAGATAAGAAACAAAATTTAAAATTTTGTTTTACCTTAGCTGGTCTATTTCTTCCCTCTGTTGAAGCTTCTGCTGTTTACTTTTTATATTACATCTGATTTTTAACAAAACGTCAGAACCTGTCCATCCTCCCCTCTCCCCCAGCTGTGCAATTAACTTCTTTCTCCCCAATAGATGAATCCCTCACCCTTTGCAGGTCTCCGATGTCTTAGTGTCTGGAAAAAAAAAAACACCCTGAAAGGTCTGGATTGCCATAGCACACTGCTGTCTGTGCTGGCTCCCCAACATCAGCCCCAAGTCTTTGCCGTGAACCCTGCCGAGCAGGAGGTTGCCCTGGTCTCCTGGCTAGGGGGAGATGCTGCTGCTCCTCCTCCCATACGGTTGTAGGCTGGATGCATGAGAGCGGTTTGTTTTCCCTTTCAGGGATGGACAGTCTGGCAAAGTAACTGTGGATGATTACGGTGCCAGGACTGGTAAATCCCCTGGAAAGATGAGGCAGTTGAACATCAATGGAGATCTCTATGTAGGTGAGTGCTCACCATGCAGGACTCAGGCGTAATTTTGTGTTTGCGAGGTCAGCTGAAGGGCAAGGCATCCCAGCTCCGTCCATATCAAGGCAAAGGCTTCAGGCAGCAGCCTATGGTCCTCTATAGCCTGTTTTTTGGGGAGGGCCTCTCTGGGTGGGATGGAGGGACTGGTATGAGAAGGGGCCAGCACCATGGGGTACACTGTGCTACCCCAGCAGGTACACAGAGAAACAGCGAAGGGCAGCTGTAAACCCCACATCTTAGTGGGAATCTGGGCATAAGCTTATTCTGCTCTTACTGCAATAAATAATTATCATCCTAGTTTATTATGTCTGCTTATCTCCTCTGTACTTGCAAGTGCTTAAAAGCTATATTTAAAAAAACGCAGAGCAACCTGTAAATTAAAATCCACTTCTGGGATGTGCTAGTGGCGCTGCTGGGCGTGTGGTCTGCCAGGCAGGCGCGGACAGCTGTGTCTCATCGCTGCCTTTCCCCAGGTGGCATGAAGGAAATAGCCCTGCACACCAACCGGCAGTACCTGCGGGGCCTGGTGGGATGCATCTCCCACCTCACGCTTTCCACTGATTACCACATCTCGCTGGTGGAGGATGCCGCTGACGGGAAGAACATCAACACCTGTGGGACCAAGTGACAGGAGAGGAACCCCAGTGCCGAGGACCTGCCGTGTGCTTGCGTGTGCAGCTGAGCGCGAGCTGGCTGCCACAGCCCTCTGCGGCCGGACCGCATTTGCCATCTGGGAAGGTGACGGACCCAGAGGGAAACATGAGAAAAAAAAAAGAACATTTTCCCTTCTCCTTTCCTCTCCTTTCCTGACCAAACCAAACTGAGTATTTCGTGTAGGAACTGTCCCTTCTTCCCATTAAGTGTTTAGTGAACGCTAAAGGTCGTGCACCGGTGCAAACAGCAAAGAAATGTGTGATGTTATGAGTAGCTCAATGACTGTGTTGTGGTCCTTAGGTTATCTTTTGCAATATCAGAGAAAGCAGTCTTGAAACATCTGCATCCATCCTACCCTGCAGTGGTACAACAACTGTGCTCTTCAACAAACACACCATCAGGTATAGTAGTGTATCTATGCATTCAAACATATGTCTTGGAACAAGCAATTCTCCTTACTGCTCTCTGATTTAGCTAAATTATGTTTCACTCTGTGTAAATAACAGCTACAGTGGCTGGTTTCAGAATACTGTTGTTTGTTGAGGAGGAAAGTTCTTAAAGTCTACTTTTTTATTACAAGCAACAAAATCAATGAACCAATTTTGTAGAAGTAATTTTATACTTGTATATTTTTTATAGCAGCAGCAGACCTCCTTACACGGTATAAATTTTAATGTTTAGATGTACTATACAATTAGCTCTTTGCACACTTTCTTAAAAATAGCAAAGTGACCTGTGGTTTAAATTTGTTATACAAGAAGCTTAATGTCTGTATTATACAGTTTTGATGGGGATATTTGTGAGTTATAACCAGTTTTAAATCTCACTCTTTTTGTTTTGTAAATTTTGACAGTTTAAAATTGTATGTTATAAAGCTTTCCTGGCTTAAACAGATTAAAAGATTAGGAAAAAAAAAAGAGCAAACGCTTGCTACCGTGGTATTATAAATCTTTTTTTTTTTTTTTCTTCTGAAAAATAGGAAAAGGAATGTGCAAGAGACCATGGTGGGTCACAGCCCTCTTAAAATAAAATGTTCTCTAGGCAGTGGACCAACACTTATGCAACCTTGATTGCCAAACTGTAATTTAAGCAGGCGAACAGAGTCCTGTTGAGACAATAAGGACAGGGTCCAGAATTTCATAGTTTGGAGATTGTTCTTCCTTAACTCTTTGTTTGAAGTAAAAAAACTTCTAAGTACATTCTAAGGCTGATCCCACCTAGAGCTGACCATGAGCAGCTGCAAGCTTGAGTGGAAAAAACAGTATCTGGTACTAGATAATGGCAAATGCAAAATAACTGCAAAGGAGATGCCAACCCTTCTTCTGCATGCTGAAAGGGACACCCTGATCAGTGAGGTGAAAGACCTTGTGCTCCTTGTAGACATGGCAGCGGCAGTCAAAAAGAAGTAGTGAGAAATAGAAAGGAACAGAAGAATACATTGCCAGCATGTAACGTGTGCACCTGTGCCCTGCCCTGTTCAAATCGCACCGCAGAAACACTGTCTGTAGAAGTCACAGGCAGCTGGCTGAGGAGCTGGCAACAGGCATGGCTCTTTGTCCGGGAGACGTGCCGTTTTGTTTGAGCCCCACGGGGAGAGAAGAACCTGTGTGCGGCCGGGAAAAAGCAGGATAAAGTATATGATTAAGATGTGGCTTTAAAATGGGATTTGATACCTTGGGGTGTAAAGAAGAAATGTGCGGAGTGTGAAAAAGGGTAAAAACTAAAACCTCTGGAAGCTGAAGGTCTAGCTGGCTGCTCGCCGCAGCAGCCCTGCGGCAGTGGCCAGGCACAGCTTGGCTCGGGCAGCATCTCAGCTGTTGGCTGCTGGAGAGGGAAGACTCACGTTTTATGTGCTTGAGGGGCACTACAAACAGCAGTGACCTGACCTGGCCTGGTGCAGGGTGGGGAAATCCAGCCGGCTGTACCATGAGTCATGAGGACCTGCTGTGCTGCCGGTGACTGGGGACAATGCCGGTCCTGGCATGGCATCAGCCTCCGCTCCATCACATGTGCCTCACCTTTACCATCCTTTCTTTTCTGTCGCAGGTTTTGGAGAGTGGCTCCAAGACAAACGTCTGGTAGGAGAGGTCTCTATTTTTAAGATAATTTACTGCAGAATAACAGGTGTTTTTGTACAAGTTCTCCAGAACAAAAGCTGCTCTTTGAAATGCGGGGCAGGAGAAGAGAGGGTAGGAAATACCTCCGTTGTTGTTGTGGAAAAGGAAGAACAACAAATGGCAGCTCCTCCAGTGCCTGTTTCCAACTGTGCGCATCACCGTGGGGGAATTTGGAGCTGGCGGCATCACCCTGCACGGCGCCAGCTGAGCAGGAGCGGCACAGCTGCATGGTGCCGGTCAGGCAGCGCAGAACAGCACAGGTGCTACAAGGTTCCAATCTTTTAAAGAAAATAAAAAGTCTTTTCTGCATCCTTTTAAAGATAGTCTGAGAAACTTCCAAAGAAGGAAACATCCCGCATCCACATCTCCAGTCTCCCTGGCAAAGTTTGGGGCTGAGAGTGAGGCAGGGGTTTCCTCTCAAAGGGCTGAGAAGGAATTAAGTGCCAGAAACTCAGGAACATCTGACCAGATGTGGTGGCTCGGCCACCCTCCACTGCCCTGATGCTGGGCCAGGGAAGGATAAGGAAAAGGCAGACAGTGCATGGTAGAGTGCTTAGTCATTTTCCCAGGAACTGGCCTGAATGTGCTGCTCGCTGTCCCCAAGGCTGTTTAATAATCCCATTATTTATTGCTTATGTGGTATTGGATGCTCAGCATGATACTGGTGCTGCTGCAGGAGGAGCTCCTGCCTTTTGACAGAGCCATGTCCTTTTTGCTGCAGGTACCTTTGCAAACCAGCAATGAAGCCAGCAGCCTCAGGTGCTTGTGCCTCTCTCTGCCCTTTAATCTCCTTCTTAAAATTGCAGTTCTCAGCTTTCTTCCTAATTCTCCAAATCAATCCCAAAAGACATACCTTTCCACTTTCTAGGGCTGAGGACCCCCTTGGTGACAGCCTGGGGTGTGCCAAGCCAGGCTTTGTGCTGGGCTCGGGCTGTCGGGCAGAGCTGCTCCCTGCCTGCCCCTCGCCCTGCACAGGGCACAGAGTAGCTCGCTGCTTTCCACCACTCCTCCGTATCCCTGGGGACCAGCCACTTGGGAATCAGCAGTTAGGTTTACTCAGATCATCCTAAAGGAAAAAAAAATGGTGGAAAACCAAACCAAACCAAACCAAACCAAACCAAACCAAATCAATAACAACAAAAAACCAAACCACCAAGCAAGAAGAGACAGCAAGGGAAACTAAAGCCAGATGGGACTTAGCAATGGTTGCTATGGTAGGGAAATTCTTGTTGCACTGGTGTGGCCTAGATGGTCAAAGGTGAGGGGCCAGGAGCTCTTTTCCACCCCACTCCTCTCAGCCTGGCCCTGGGCAGCAAAGAGGCGGAGGAGCTGCCAGGATTGGGAAGATGCTCATTCCCCACCAGTGTGTTAGCCTGCCACAGGTGCCTGTGAAAAGTTACTGTTTTGTCAGCCAGGCTTTGCTTTTGAGCAAAGGTTTTCATTCTGTTGATAAAGCAAAGTAAGGCAGGTGGGAAATGCATCGTCCCAGCTCTGCACATGCAGTGCCCTCCACAGCAGCATCACCCCTCAAGGGGCAAACCTCCTCACTCTAAAGGACTAGACAAAACACGGCTGTGGTTTACTCGTGGAGAGCAGCAGCCACATCCCATCAGCCAGATGCATCTTTTTATCAGCATTTTATTTCTTGGGGGGGAGGTGTGGGTGGTGGGGTGTGCGTGCACACAGTGGAGGTTTCCCTCCTCCAAAGCAACATCTTGCTCTGACGTCTGAGCGGGGCATCGCCTGCTCTGTCGAGCCCGTCCCTCCTCCCACTGTGTTCTTCCATCGGTCAGCATCAGGGTGGGCACCCCAGTCCCCTTGTCGGGCAGTGATGTGTCCTGGCCCCTGTGCTCGGGCATCTCACAGACGAGTAACAGCCCAGTGCTGGCACCTGCGGCCGTGCAGTGCTGCGGGGTCCTGGCTTTCCGCCCCTCGAGACATGACCCGGCTCGGCTGTGAGGGCCCCGTTCCCAAGCCCCGGTGACAGAGACTGCCTGGCAGCGCTGCGACCGACTGCCCTTCTTTCTCTCAAATACCAGTTCACTGTCAGAGAGCATTTTTGTTTATTGTGCACAGAACAAAGACGACGTTGTTCCTCTCCCCTCGCTATTTCTGTTTCAAGCTCCCCTCAGTCTTCCTTTCTAGGAAAACAACGCGGCCAGTTCTTTCAACACCTGTCCCCACAGGTTGTGTTTTCCAGCACCATATGCTACTGTGACGTATGGGGGCAGTGTGGAAGGAACGGGGCTCCTGAACACAGACACTCCACGTTCAGGCTCACAAACCAGCAGCTTTCCAACATTTTTTTTGTTTGTTTTGCAGATCCTCAAATAGTTGCTAGTGGAAATAGTGGCAGCATACATGGTCACTTTTGCAGACACAGTGGAATTTTCCTCAATTTTCCAGTCTTTTGAAAGCACCAAAGAGGCAATATTTAATATTTTCTTTACAATTTCTCTTGCTTCCGTTTTTATTCCTCGCCACACTGTTTAATGTTGATGTCAACAAAGGAGAATTCAAAAATTAAACCAATTTATCATCATGCTTAGGCAGTTTTCATTTGATTTTCTGACTGCTCTTACCAAAACACAGAGGGGTTTTTTTTAACCACTAACAAACATCTCACACACAGGGACTCTGTAACATTTATTTATGCGTTGAGAGTAAACTTTTGCAGTTGCAAATGCGGGGAAACGGTGGACGCTAATGGTACAGCCAGGGTCGCGTTAGCCACAGCCGGCACTGTCAGCGCAGGGAGTCAAGCGGAAGGTAAGGATGCATCGTGCTGGAATAAGCCCAGGAAACAACGGGCAGTTTGAGTCCCTCCCCCAGATTTCCCGGGTTAAACGGGCACACC